GCCCCCTGTCTTGGCTGTGATCCGTGGGGTTTGGGGTGTCCTGCCCCTGTCCTGGCCATAAGCCACGGGGTCTGGGGTTCTCTGCCTCTGCTCTTGCCATGAGCAACTAGTTTTGGGAGTGCCCTGCTCCTGTTCTGGACCTGGCCCACAGGGTTTGGGGATGCCCTGTTCCTGTGTGGTCCATGACCTGTGGGGTTTGGGGGTGCCCTGCCCCCGTCCTGAACGCGTTCTGCAGGACTTGGGGTGCCCTGTGCCTGTCCTGGACCTGACCCGTGGGGTTCGGGGGTGCCCTGCTTCTGTTCTAGACCGTACCCACTGGGTTTGGGGTGCCTTGTCCCTGTCTGGTCCATGACTCATGGGGTTTTGGGGTGCCCAGACTCTGTCCTGATCCTGACCCGTGGGGTTTTGCTGTGTCCTGCCACTGACTTGGCCCAGACCTGTGGGGTAGGGAGTGCCCTGCCCCTTTCATTTCCCTGACTCATGGGGTTTGGGGGTGCCCTTCCCCTGTCTTGGCCCTGACCTGCAAGCTTTCGGAGTGCTGTGCCCCTGTCTTGGCCCTGACCCATGGGGTTTGTGGTGCCATGCCCCCGTCCTGGCTCTGACACGTGGGGTTCGGGAAGGCCCTACCCCTGTCCAGACCATGACCCAGGAGATTTGAGGGTGCCCTGTCCCTGCCCTTGCCTTGACCAGCAATGTTTGGGGGTGCCCATCCCGTGGCCTGGCCAAAACGCTCAGGCCTTGGGGGTGACCTTTGCCTGTCCTGCCCTCATGCACTGGATTTTGGGTGCCCTGCCCCTGTCCTGGCCCTGATACATGGGGTTTGAGGGTGCCCTGCTCCTGTCCTGGACCTGACCCATGAGGTTTTGGGGTTGACCCATGGATTTCTGGGTTTCCCTGTCTCTGTCCTGACCCTGATCCACAGTCTTTTGGGGGTGCCCGGCCCCTGTCTTGGCTGTGATCCGTGGGGTTTGGGGTTCCCTGCCCTTGACCTGGCTGTGACCCACAGGGATTTCAACCTGCCTTGTCCCCGTCATGGCCCTGACCTGTGAGGTTTGGGGTTCTTTACCCCTGTCTTGCCTGCTACAAGTGCAGCTTGGGAGTACCCTGCCCCTTGTCCTGGCCCTGAACCTTGAGGTTTGTGGGTTCCTGGCCCCCTCTCTTTCCATGACCAACTTGGTTTGGGGGTGCCCTGCTCCTGTTCTGGACCTGATCCGCTGGGTTTGGTGTGCCCTGTGCCTGTCTGGGCCACTACCTGTGGGGTTTGGGGGCTCTCGGCCCTTGTTCTGACACTCTCCACTGGGGCTTGTTGGTGCCTTGCCCTGTCACGGCCATCACCCGTAGGTTCCTGGTGCCCTGCCCCTGTCGTAGCCGAGACTCATGGAGTTTGGAGGTGCCCTGCCCCTGTCCTGGCCCTGGCCTGTGTAGTTTGGGGGTGTCCTGCTCCAGTCTTGGCCCTTACCTGCAGACTCTGGATGTTTCTTGCCCCTGTCCTGGCACTGACTCATGGGGTTTGGGATTCTCTACCCCTGTCATGGCTGTGACCCACAGGGTTTTGGGCTTACCCTGCACCAGTCCTGGCCCTTATCCATGGGGTTCGGGGTGCCCTGTCCCTGTCTGGCCCATGACCTGCAGGGTTTGTGGATGTCCTGCCCCTGTCCTGAACCTGACCCGCAGGGTTTGGGGGTACCCTGCCACAATTCCCGTATGTCCAAACAAAAATATGTCAAAAAAATTGTACACCCATTTTTTTTTTAATTTTTCCAAATTGACAATGAATGTTAAACCTCATTATTCACCTATTTTACTACCAACCACCTGTCACACCCCCCCACACCCCACACCCCCAAACAGGATTTTTACCAACAGATCAAGGATTTGTGTCTCATTTGGCATAATTTGGGCCAAAAAAGAAGATGAAAACCTGGTGCTGGGCAGCCAGCACTTTCCTGGGACTGGCATGGGGCCTGAGGCTTTGCTGCTTGACTCCATCATTAAGGCTCTGAAATTTAAGGACGATCTTTTAACCACTCGCTGCCCACCACCAAAGACTAATTTTACTATTTTTGAGCAGCAAAATTTACTATATTTTTTTATACTTTTTTACTTTTATACTATTTTATACCATTTTTTTACTATATTTTGAGCAGCAAAACCCGGAGCCGGCCACGGTTGTCAGAGCAGGGCTGCATATCGCTGCCCCATCCTGGCGGGACCCAGGCAATAGCAGGTTTGGGGGTTCTCACCCCAAAATATGGCTCAGGGCCATGTTTTTGCCGCGTCCCAGTGAAATAAATATGGGAAAATATTTGGCAGAAACATTTTTCCTTGGAGATGCTCCTTTTCTCCTTGTCACTGCCTTCCCCTGGGGCTTGCTAAAACCCATCCCTCTGTGCCCCAAATCTTTTTGACACCTCTGTCCCCTCTGGGTGTCCCCTTTGGGTGCCCCCCGCGGCCCTTTTGGGTGCCCCCCATGTGCCTGTGTGCCCCTTTGGATGTGCCCCCAGGCCCCTTTGGGTGCGTCCCATGTGCCTCCGTGCCCCTTTGGGGTACCCCTCGGGTCGCTTTGGGTGTCCCCTGTCTCCCTCTTGGGTGTCCCCCAGTACCCTTAGGGTGCCTCCCCAGGGTCCTCCATGACCCTTTGGGTATCCTCAGCCCTCTTTGGGTACACCCCCCCCCCGCCATGTCCCTCCATGCCCCTCTGGGTGCCCGCCAGAGCCCCCCACTCCCCTCTCAGTGTCTTTCGGGGCCCCCTGGAGCCTTTCCCCTCCCTGCCAACCCCCAGGGACAGAGGCCCTGGGGTCCCTCACCACTCATCCCCATGGGGACAGCGCCCCTGTCCGCCCCCGAATCCACGGGGTGTCCTCATCCTCCTTAAGGGCCTCTGGCCAGCGCTGGCCCTGTGCCCCGAACCTGATGGGCGTCCCCAGCTGCTACCGCAATGGAGGAGACGTGAGTGCCCCCGGGGGTTCCCGGCATACCCCCCACCGCTGGCGCCCCCCCTGAAGCCCCACTGTTTCCCCCAGGGTGCCCTCAGTGGAAGCCTATGAAGCGGCCATGGTGCTGAGCGGGGTGGGGGATGCGCTTGGGAACCGGGGGGGCCGCTGGGAGTACTGCACCTCGGGACCCCAGATCCATGCTGAGCTAGCCGAGCTGGGGGGGCTGGAGGCCATCACCCTTGAGCCCCCCGAGTGGCCCGTCAGTGATGACACCGTCCTCCACCCCCCCGCCGAGGGCCTGGCCACAGGTTGGAGGGGGTGGGGCAGCAGGGGTCTCCATTGCACCCCACAGACACAGGGGAGGGTCCCCAGGGGATGGTGTCCCCATTGTTGTACCCCAGGCCCACAGGTGATGTTTCTGGGGGGGGGGGGGGGGTGTGGGGTCCCTGTTATACCCCTGGGTTGCATGTGGGTTCCCTGGGGGGGTTTGGAGGTCCCTGTTATATGCCTTGGGCTGCATGGTGGGGGTCCGGGGGTGGTGTTAGGGGTCCCCGTTATACCCCTGGGCTGTATGGGGGTGTCCCTGGGGAGGTTTGGGAGTCTCTGTTATACCCCTGACCGAAACTGGAGGGTCCCTGGGAGGGGCTTTTGGGGGTCCCCGGCCAGCCCTGGAGGGGGCTTGGGAGCATCCTAATTCCACCCCTCTTTTAGGGGCTCAAGTGAGGCTCCCTATTTCCCCCCCAAAAAAAATTGGGGGGGGTCCCCATTTCCCTTTGGGGGGGGTCCTAGTTTTCCCCACAGTTTGTGGGAATTTATGTTCCCTTTCCTCCCATGCTGGGTGCTGGGGGGCCCCATTTGCCCCTCCCAATTTTGTGGACCTTGGGGGGGG